CCCCTCCCCTCCCCTCCCTCCGTACCTTGACCTGATTTTCTTTTTCCTGTGCCATCGGTATGACGCCGACAGCTCCACCCCGGACTTGAGCACCACGTGCATGATCCGGCGGTAGTTGGAACGGTGAGTACCTAAACACACACAAGAAACAACACAACCGACGCGACGTCTGTCCAGTATCGAGTAGCACGTCGGTGCGTTGATCGATCGCGTGACTGACCCGGTGCTTCCGATTTGGGCGGGTAGAAGCCGCCACTCTCTGGCCCCACCTCTGGCGACTGTGCGATAATGTTCCGCGCACCCAACATCCAATCGTCAGCTGAGAGGAGGGAAACGCACACGTACAGGTCGACCCGTGTGTTGTCTCCATGCCTTCGTTCTCTCTCGCCCACTCACCCTCTCCATATGTCTCATACTTGAGGATCGACTTGGGTGCTGACTCGTACACCTCCACATCCAAGACACTGCACACGCCCACACACATCCATACACACGATACCTTGGAAATTGCACGCTCTCTTTGTTGACACACCTGCCGAGCTCTTCGTAGATGCCGGCCGCCCAGGCGGGCAGCTCCTCCTTGCCGGACCAGTTCCATGGGTGCGTCCAGAAGCCCCCGAAGGTGTGGAAGTTCATGGCACTCTTGAACGAGTGATTCGATGTCAGGTCGCGGATCGCCTGCGTCTCAGGCTCGCTGAACGGCGCTTCGCCGGAATACTCCTCGTCACACCTGCCATCATACCAGAGAGAGAGAGAGAGAGAGAATCCATTGCCAGGAGTGTGATGCTCGTGGCTGGCTGACTTTTTGCTTTCGTCTTGTTGCCACTTCCAGTCGTAGTTTCGGTTGATGTCGACGCCGCCCAGCGCAGGGTCGTTGGAGCAGGTAGGCCGCCGATTCTTCCGCACCACCCGGGCCTTGTCCGGGTGCTCCTCGATGTACACGTAGCCGTCGGGATTCACAAAGGGGAGCGTGTATATCACACGGTTGTGCAACACATACCTGACAGACACAGACAGACAGAGATGGATGGAAGCGAGAGGTGGGGATCGATCAATCAACGAACATGTGTGTGTGTGTGGATGGATGGATGGATGTTTCGTTCGCTGACCGTGCGTATCTCTCGCCTCTCATGTAGTTCTGCAGCAGCCTTCCCACATAGTACACGACCGTGGTCAGACTCAGCGGCTCCCTCGCGTGATGCTCTCCAGTCAAGAGCACCTCAGGCACACCACCAGCACCCGCATCAGTGGCATTGCTGACACCATCACTCCCTCCGCCTTCTGGGTGGGCGCCCACCACCCACACGTGCAGGTCGCGTCCCTCGACTGACTTGCCGATGGAGATGTGTTTGAGGAGCGATGGGTACCACTGGATGAACCTGTCAAACAGCTCCACCACTTGTGACCACGACGCGTAGCCCTTGACGGGCCCGCTGCTCAACACATTTTCCCAACCGGCATCGAACGCCGCCGTGTCGGCCGCTGCACTGCCTGATTCCAACACCACGCATGGACAGATGAGCCGACACCGAAAGCATGTGCTCTTGATCTCTCCTCGGCTGACCTAGCTGGAGCGCGGCCCATGAGAACAGCAGTACCAGCAGAGCTGAACGCACCTCTCTCCACGTCACCATCGCATGAGCCAGGAGACTGCGACGCGCGCTCTCAGTCCGACTTCATCTTTTCTCGATGCAACGCCGTATGTAAGATGCAGATCTGCGTACGCGCACGTGTGCACACGCCTTGTCTTCTCGCATTTGGTTTGGAAAGCTCGCAAACTGCGAGATAAGCTCGCTGACTCGCCAAGAAAAGGGAGAGGGACCTTCCAGAAAAGTGAGGGCGACCCTCATTGGATGTCCGTGCTGCCTCTGATGCTGCCTCGCTGACGTGATCATTGATCTCTGACCATCATGGTGCCCTCCGTGTCCATCGGGCCGTACAAGTTGGGGAGCACTCTGGGCGTCGGCACCTTTGGCAAAGTCAAACGTGAGATCATAATCAGAGGCACGGAACGAGATGCGGGCGCTTACTGCGTTAACGAGATGCGTTGGTGTTTGGTGGTGTGTTTTGTATGTGCACTGCAGTGGCTGTGCATGACACGACGGGTCAGAAGGTGGCCATCAAGATCATCAACAAGTCCAAGATGCAGTCGATGGACATGCACGAGAAGATCAGGAGGGAAATCAACATCCTGCAGCAACTCAGGCACCCGCACGTCATTCGACTGTACGCACACGCACACACGCCACAACAGGACAGGGCCACTCACATTGCACCACACCACACACACTCTTGTTGCCTGCCGTGCGACTGTCGTGTGTGTGTGTGTTCAGGTACGAGTTGATTGACACGCCCACAGACATCTTTATGGTCATGGAGTACGTGCCTGGCGGGGAGCTCTTCGACTACATCGTCCAAAAGTCGAGGGTAACCACACACCGCACCCATGGACAGACACCATGGAGCATCTATCTATCTGTGTGTCAATCAATGATTGTGGTCTTTGGTGCAGCTACACGAGAATGAGGCGCGTCGTTTTTTCCAGCAGATCGTGTCTGGTGTGGAGTACTGCCACCAGAACATGGTCTGCCACCGCGACCTCAAGCCAGAGAACGTGCTACTGGACACCAACCTGCACGTGAAAATCGCCGACTACGGCCTCTCCAATCTCATGAGGTGAGCACATCGGCATGCTGGCACTCGCCGCACCACACGCGGCCATGTGGTTTGCCTTCCTACAGAGACGGCGACTTTCTGAAGACGTCTTGTGGGTCGCCGAATTACGCCTCGCCTGAGGTCGTCTCGGGCAAGTAAGGCATGCCACGGCCCGCCGCAAGACACACATGAAATGCGAGATCGTGTATGCGTGTGTGTGTCAATCAGGGCGTATGCCGGTCCAGAGGTGGATGTGTGGTCGTGTGGGGTCATTCTCTATGCCCTCCTGTGCGGCTCGCTGCCATTCGACGACGAGCACGTGCCGAACCTCTTCAAGAAGATCAAACACGGTGAGAGGATTTGCACAGGCGATGATGCATTGAAGGATGAAAGCTGAGGGAGAATGGTCGGCACTCTGTCTGTCAGGCAATTTCACGCTCCCCGGTCACCTGAGTGAGAACTCCAGGAGCCTGATCGTGCGCATGTTGGTGGTCGACCCCACCAAGCGGGCCACTTTCAAGGAGATCAGGTGAGGGGCCACACGCAGCACCACACAGCCGGATAGATGGAATGACAGTGCCTGTCGATCTGCGTGCAGGAAGCACCCTTGGTTCAAGCAGCACCTGCCCACCTACCTGTCCGCCCCCCTCAAGAACCCCATGCTGCAAAACGTCGACCACAACCTCGTCGAAGAAATGAAAAGGGTCGGTGGCGCACCACGGCGGGTGTGTGTGTGTGTGTCGGCAGCAGCATCTCTTTTCCTCTGTCCTGCCTCTCTGTCAGTTGGGTTATGACATCAACGAGGAGACCCTGGTGCTCAATCCCAAAGTCGGCACTTTTCCATCCAGGTGCAGTCGGCGCCACTGACCACCACATGGCTGTGTGTGTGGATGCCCTGTCTGCTCTCGCTTCAGGGAGACGGTGGCGTACCAACTGCTGCTCGACAAACGAGCCAAACAGTCCTCTTACTCAAGTAGGGAGGGCTGGAGGGAGGGAGGATAGCGCGACGAGTGAATGCGCACCATCAACACACACGTGGTCATGCGCTGTCCGTCAGACATGCTACCCATGCCATATCGCGAGCGCGAGAACCTCCCGCCCGTCTTTCCAAAAGACGTCCAGAAAAAGGTCAGTCAGTCGGTCGGTCGGTGCACAGAGTTGTACGTGTCCATCTGTGCGTGCGCCCTGTGTGGGCGTCTCAGATAGCGAATCTGCACCAGATGGGCGTCTTGGGAGTCGACGCCGCCTACATGGACACCAACCCAGCGGTACGATCAACACACCGGGCTGGCTGCCTGTATGTCTGCCTGCCTGTCTGCCTACTTGTCGTCACTGGTCAGAACTCGCCCATCGCGCCTGGTGCTCCCCTGGCAGGTCAGCGGACGCCGTCTCCTTTGCAGGGCGGGCCGTACGACTACTCGCCCGGCAACCTGGCGTGGTCATCATCCCGGTGGAAGCTGGGCGTCGAGTCGCTCCTGGACTCATCCACACTCGTCATCGCCGTAAGCAGACACGCAGAGAGAGAGAGAGCGAGACGAATAAGGATGCCCATGCATTGTGTGTCAATAATTCATGGATCAGATCTTGAATACGCTCAAGAAGTTGGATTTCGAGTGGTGCATGGTGTCGCCTTACAAGCTGCGCTGCCGCCCCGTCCGCCGCCCGCCCCCCGAGACTTCCCACCCCACCAACAGTGACAATGCCAGCGCCACACAGCAGCAGGGCCACCAGCCCACCCAGTCGGAGGACGCCTCGTCCACACACGAGACTGGCGGTGGGCAGCAGGCCGGCAGCAATCAGCCCGACGCGTCTGTGTCTGGCACCAAGAGCCCTGAGGGTGGCGGCAGCACGAGCAGCCAGCAACAGCAACAGCAACAGCAGCAGCAGGCGGCGGGCAACTTCAAGCCATCGAGTGCGTCCTCGTCAGCGTGGCGTGACCACCAGGACATCGTGCTGACGGTGCAGCTGCACAAGATCGCCTCCTGCCGCTACCTGATCGACGTCCAGCTGTTCGAAGGCCCATCCATCGGTACGGTCACCTACAAACAAACACACACATTCACGTCAGCCATTGAGTGAATGAATGGTTCTCTGGTGTGATGTGTGTTTGTGCAGCTGTGATGTCTCAGGCGCTGCTTGTGACGTCAGCCATCTTTTCTGCGGTCCAGCAGGTGCAGCAAACGCATCAGCAGAACCCCGGCCACCCCAACTGGTCGCCCACCACGCCGATACGCCTCGGCTCGCATGGCGGCACACAGGGGTCCGGACACAGGCTGTTCGGGCCGTGATTCATTGATCTATGGGAGGGACAGGCAGACAAGGCAGAAGGTTTGTGCCGCTGTGTGCTGCGCGTACGTATACATGGAAGATCGCTGATCGATACGCATACGCATACGCACGATACGCATACGTATACGTATACGTATACGTCTGCTTGTGCGTAGAGCGGACTGAGTCACCAACAGACAACCAAACGTCGAGCGTCTTTTCGCTGGCCGTCAATTACCGATTTGACTGACTGACTGATCGGATCCATTCATTGCAGCCTCGCATCACAGCTGAGTGAGTGAGTGAGTTGAGTGGCGATGTCTGTCACGACGGCCACGTTGATCACAGTGCTCCTTTGCCTCGCCGCCGCCACCAATGCCAAGGCTGCAGGCACACAGCATTCACAGACACACAGACAGACAGTCACGTGCGTGTCTCTCTCTCTGTGTGTGTGTGTTGGACGGCAGAGAGAGCCGCATCATCATCTCTGCGCCAGGGCACCAACGTCCGGCTGATCCCTCAGCTGACATCGGCCCTCTTCGGCCCCACGCCAGCCGCACAGCCCACGCCAGCCGCCCCTGCAGCCGCCACGCTGCCGCCCACACCCATGGCCACACACATCGAAAGTAACCAAACAAACACTCATTGGCTGTCTCCCTGTCTGTCTGCGATGGATGGATGTGTGTGTGTGTGTGTGTGGTTGGATTGGATTGGATTGGGTCAATCGATCGGTCAGCGTTCCACAAGGAGCGGCTGCATGACGAGATTCAGGAACTCGCAGCAGAAAACGCCAAAAAGTCAGTCAATCACTCACTCAGCACACACGAGGACACACTGAATGGCTCTCTCTTTCTCTCTGGTGTCACTGATTGGTGGATGAGTGCAGGCAGGAGATCATCCAGAAACTCAGTGAGCCCACACACTAACAACACCCACACACATCCATCGATGTGTCTGTGTGTGCAGAGGAGGAGCCGGTCGGGTCGTCGCCGTTGGGCAAACTGGCATACCAAACATTCCTCTCCAAGGCAACACACACACACACACACACACATACAAGGGAGACACACGAAGAGAGATTCCCACGTCTGTGTGTCTGTGTGTCGATGGGTTGGTTGACTGACTGGCAGCAACTCGCCCGTCTGCAATATCTCCACAACCGACTCCGCGAAGAGTCATCAGACACACAGTCACACAACAAGAGCAGCAGCTGATGAGCGTGTGTGTCTGTGTGTGTCTGATGTGTGCAGGTGGGCCAAGGTCGATCCGGCAAAGGCAGCAGCCGACATCGTGTTGGTGGGAGAGAACCAGGTCAGACAGTCAGCCAGACACAGACAGACACACGGTGGATGTGTGCATGATTGTGTGCGCTGTGTGTGTGTTGTGTGTGTGGTTAGTTGGAGTATCGAACGAGGCATGAGCGTGAGATGCAGGACAGACAAGTCGCTGACGACACACAATGATCAACGGACGAACTGAGAGTGACTGAGAAAGTGACTGATGGAGTGGATTGATGGGTGCAATGCATGACAGACACAGAGAATCGCCGGCCACACGAATTGAATGCATGACGTGGGACAAACAGCGCACGTTACAAACATGTCCTCAGTCTACACGTGCACACCTCTCTCAATCAGTCGGAGAGTCATACAAGTCGCACACAGCCCAGAGGGCACACACAGGTCCTATAACCAGTCGCAAAACCAATGCGCTTGTCACAATGACATCCAAAGTAAGTGTCCTATCTGGGTGCCTCTTGCACACACTGATCAACCACGACAAACCATGCACGAGAAGTCTCTGCCTGCCTGTTTGGCTGGCTGCCCGTGCCACATGCAATTTGCAAAGACACGCACAGCCGATCGAGGACACCACATATATATCAATACCGATGTACTGGCCCTCGACTTATCTACCTACTTATGTCGGTGTCAAACACATAATGAACACCATGGTCGCCAGTCGACTGGTCTGGAGTCCCCGTCTGCGGCTGCAGTTGCGGTCTTCCAATCACATACGCTGCGACTCCGTTCTGCCGATAAGCCATGACAGCCGGCGGGGGAAGGTCATCCTTGAAGCCTCGGGCCCTCAGCACGTGTCTGTATTCCTGCAGGACGCTGCACGGCATACACCAGAAGACGAGGCAGCAGTCGCCGCAGCCATCGGTTGCTGCGATGCCGTAATATCTTACAGACAGACAGACAGACCAGTATTGTGTCAGTGAGTCATCGGTCGGGTCCCTCCCAGCACTGCAGCCGGCCATCCGCCTGCGTACCTCCTCAGTTTGGTTCGATAGACAAGAAAAACGATGAAGGCGACAACGCTGCCGACTACCGCGACCGGCAGGAACACCGTTATTTTCGAGCTAGGTCTGTCCTCGGGGTGGACGCTCTCGTCGTTGAGGTAGATCTCCTTGGTGTTGAAGACCCAGACCCAGTAGTAATGGTAGGCGGTCTCCAATATCGTTTTGAGCGAGCCGGTGAGCATGAGTGCGCCGAAAACCAGGACGCCAATGACCAAGAAGGCGCTGAAGACCACTACGCCCACCCAAAGCGGCACCAGCTTCACCTGTGCCAACGGCCACGCCTGCGCATACATACGCCTGCGCATACATGCGGCGATTATAAGTAGAGGGAGATCCGTGAATAAGATGGAATAAGGCACTGCCTCTCCTCTGCATATCTTCACCTTGAGGAAGGCGTAGATGGGCGACAAGCAGAGCCCCAACGTTCCAAGCATGCAGGACGGTCCGTCGGAGAAACAGTCAAAGATGCCATCGCTCCACTGACCTGAATGAGGGAAACCCCAACAAACAGACAGACAATCGCATCATTGCGGAACGTCTGGTTCGTGTCCGTCCGCACTCACCTTTCCACAATTCATCTCGCGTCGAATCCCCGATGGGCACGGGCAGCTGCCCGGAACGAGGCTCCCTGTCCGCTGCTGACATATCGTCCTCGGACCGCCGACAAATCGTGTGTGTGTAGAGGTCAGAGATCTTGCACGCACAGCCTCTGAGACTGGTCCAGACGCCAGACGGCGGGAACGCGACAGCTCTCTCATCTCTCCATCCTCCTGGGTCCAAGGGTAAGGTTTACAAACCCTGCACTTTTGACCCCATCATAGCACGCGCTGAGAAATCTCGAGAGGCTGCCTGCCAAAGCATTCAATGCAACACGCCTCTGTCTCTCTCTGGCTGCATGTTCGCCCGCCGATGCATAATCTGACGTACACCCACCCGTACGGACGTCTCTCTCTCTGCCTGCATGCCTCCGCTTCCCTGACCCACCTCCTCTCTCCGACACCGCATCAGAGCAGACGACGCACTGCCCTTCCCGCCCGTCATGCAGTCGCAGGTATGTCTGTGTGTGAAAGCGGTCAGCCTCTCTCCAGGTGGAATCGGTGAGCCCTCTGCAGGAACTCATTCAGCACACCCATCTCGTACCACCCGGACCGGGCACTCTGAAACACAAACACTGTGACATGTGGGCAGTGGGCCGCCCGCCTTGCTCACCGTCTGCATCTCGGGCGCCTCCCGCAGCAGCTGCAGAACCCGTGACGCCAAAAGAGAGCTCTCGTAAACCTGCACACGACAGACATCCATGGAAGCTGCTGCATGGCGCGAGCCAGCTGCTGAGGCGTCAGTCGTCAGTTACCTTCTTTCTGCTGTAATCGAGCCACAGGTCGTCCATGAAGTGGTGCAGACTCTGACTGCCAAACAACCTGACACACAGACACACACACACGGGGGACAGGCAGACTCACTTCTGCTGCCGACTGGCTGCATGGTTATCTGGCACACCTATCGACAAGCGGCGGTGGTGGTGGCAGCTGTGGCGGGGGCCGTGTGTGTGAGTGGGAGGTGAGCAGGTCCACCTTGTTGGCCACTATCAGGATCGGACACCGGCCGCTCAACAGACACTCAGCTGCATGCAGTTGATTGGCAACAACCAGACGCCACACAGATCAACACAACGCGAGATACATGGGTCCACAGACAGCTGGCTTGTGCGTTGCCTACCTGTCGTCGGATTCTCCACGTCAGGCCCGTCATCACTGCAGTGATTGGATCAGACAGCAAAGGGCGAGAGGGAGAAGAATCCACACACACACACGTGTCTGGGAGTGCCTTCCATGGACTGACCTTTCAGCAGCAGCGGGGCCGGGCTGCTCATCCGGGGCGACTTTATCTCTGTTGGCTTCGCCGTGTCAGAATGCCCGTGATGGCGGTGCGGCCCTCTGGCAGACCTCCATCAGCCACTGGCTCAGCTTGCGATACGACTTGAGGTTTGACACATCATACGCCAACAGCACACCTGCACCACACAAACCAAATAGCCACACATCCTCCCTCTGTCCGCCTCTGTGTGTGTGTGTGTGTGGTAGCCCCCGACTGACCGTCAAGCCCATCAAAGAAGACATTCCTCGCCCCAGCGTAGGCCCTGGTGCCGCCCACATCCCAAAACTCTACGGGCACGCCGCCCTTGCCGCCATCGGGGCCATCGCCAGACTCCAGCGGATGAATGCGCACGCTCACCCGACAGCCGCACGTCCACGACGCCGCGGGCCGCCTGATCTCGGCTGACATAAGGGACCCCGGGCTGCCTGCGAAGGGCGAAGGCGGGCCGCTGCCGGCGGAGATGCCGTTGTCGTTGGGGCAGAGGACGCGCAGCAGCTCTGTTTTGCCGACGGCCGCGTCGCCCAGGACGACTATCTTGACGCTCCTCGGGAGGGGGTCCATTTCTGATCAGGGGAGAGAGGTGCTCACCTGCATCCAATCCGCCAGATCAGTGGAGATCTTGGCCCTGCAGGTCTTGACGTGCGCTGCAGCAGCTCAGATCTCCCATCGGGGCAGCAGCAGGGGATTTGGCGAACCCCACTGTTTCAGAAACCCTGAAGTTTTGCGAGCTCGACAGGGTGAATTTTTGAGAGACGAAACAAAGGAATGTCACGCCTCCGGCCTCCCGAAGACCTCCCTGTGTCCTATGACTGCCACTCCAGCTGTCACCTTGCCCTCGGTGGAGTCATCCACGAGCCCGTCGACCAGCAGAACAGAAACACGTGCTGGCTCCATGCTGCAGCCACCGCATTCAAGTGCAAAGCCGTGCTGAGCGGGTGCCGCGTAGAGGACATCTCGGAGCTCAATTGCCTCTGCAGTGAGGAGAGGCTTCTGCGGCTGTGTGGCGTGTCTGCTCAAGCCGGAGGGGATCCTGCTCATGCGCTGGAGTGCCTGACTGGAACGCCCCCAAGTCGCCTCGGACACGGACTCGAGCCGTATGAGCGGGTGAAAGAAATCTGCAGGTACAGTACGGTGGTGGAGGATGCCACAGCATGATGTATGTCTGTGGGCTCTTACCTCGCTCATCAGGTGGATGATGCGCGAGGGGCCTGTCGTAGTCGCAAGTGAGCAGCCAGCATCGGTTGGAGTGGTTGAGCAGCGACGGTTGGAGTTGTTCCCCTGTTTGTTTGCACCAGGCTTTCGCCCACCGGATGATTTCATTGGTTCGTCAACGCAGCCGTATGACTGCCGTTCTGGCCGCACGACATTCCGAGATGGCAACAGCCCCCACGCCGTGGTGTCCTATGGGTGGAGGAAGACGGAACACGGCATCTGGGTGTAAGTGAGGGCACTAAGACGCAATGGCTGAATGCACATACCCATCACACACACCCACACACACACTCTCTCTCTCTCTCTCTCTCTGTGTGTGTGTGTGTGTTCTCTCTCTCTCTCTCTCTCTCTCTCTCTCCGCGTGTTTGACTGTGCGACTGTGCCGTGTGTGCAGGTGGCGGGTCAAAAACAGTTGAGGCGACGATTCCAACCTCACAGAGGTCCCGTTCGGACACGACGGCATCGATGAGGAGGTGAAGAAGACAATGGAGCTGCGCAGAAGTATAGCAGTGTGTCCTTCCTACCCCTGCAGGTGCTCGGTGTACCTGTTCCCGCCATTCCATACTTCCCCGGCCTCTTCCCTCACGGGCCTTACCCCTCACGCAATGCGGTCCGTGGCCGTGGGACTCGGCTGGCCATCTCGGAGGAGCCCCTCTGTGGCGTGTGGCGTGAAAGTGACCGCGATGAACCGCAGTCCGTTCACATCCTCTGCTTCGTCGACCAGGCGACAGGGGCGCGTAGAGTGGAGGTGCAGTCGACTATGGCGCACCTCTGCTTCTGCGAGGTGAAAAAGGTTGCCGAGGGAGGGCAGTCAGGGGCCCTGTATGAAGGAAAGGCTCACCTGTCTGAGCCATATGTACGCGACAAGGATCTGCAAAGTGTCGAAGGGATCGCCCGGTGGGGCAGGAGGGATGTCCCGGTGCGGCTGCGTCAGACGGGAGAGGATGAGTTTGAGCTCTCCTTCCGTCGCCGCACCGGGGGATTCATCACATTCATTTTTGAGCGGGTGGCCTTCCCACCAAATGCCGACGGGCAGCAGCAGGGGGAGGGCGCAGACGAGGAAGGGGGAGGGGGGGAGGATGGGGGAGGGGGAGAGCATGATGTGTTGGTGGTGGATGACAATGAGGGGGAGGAGGGGTACGACGAGCAGTCGCCTATGGTGCTGTGTGATTAGATTTCCTCACGAGAATCTCGTTCTTCCGATGTCTGGTCTGTCTGTCTGTATGTCGTGTGTCCCGTGTCTGGCTGACTCTTTGTCTGGCTGGTCCTTCTTCAGGTGACTCAACTGCTGAGATGCGTGGCTGGTGAATGACTGAACAGTGTCGTTGTGCTATGTCTCTCACCCAGTGTCGGGTGATAGTGTCGATTTCTCCAGTGAAGGACATTAATCACAAGACCCTTCTGAGTGGATCAGAGCTCTGCCAAACGCAAATGCGTGCATTCATCACATTCATACAAAGCAATAGGTTCATCCACAAAGCCACCCAGAAACATATGCACAGCGGAATGTTGGTCTGGTATGTCCAGCTAAACACTACTTACTCATTCCTGCACCCCCAATACGCCTTCCGTGTCCCTCCACCCTCCGCCCTCTAGAGCCCGACACCGATCCCATTCCTACCTCAACACACCACCCACCTACTTCCATCAACCACTGACGCCTCCCCACTCTATCGCTTCAGTGTGAGTGTCTCCTCATCAGCAGACACCACTACAAACGGTGATCCGGCGGATGCGAGTGCCTCGTCCAAAGCACGAGCCGCCAAATACGCCGGGAAGTGACGCAGGAGGTATGGCGCCCTCCTTCCTACTGCCTGAGTCATCCCCTCATGGAAATGGACCACCCTGACGCCAGGGGTGTTGGCGATGACGGCATTCATGAAGTCCATCTGCACGTTGCCGAAGCGGTCGTGGATGCAGCAGGGCGTGTCGATGGTCAGGTGCTCGATGGGCGGGAGGAGGGCAGTGAGGGCGGGGGTTGTGAAGAGGCGGTAGAGGGGGGATATGGTCAGTAAGAGTTCCCCTTCGATCTCATGGTCGGGATGCAGGGGTACAAAACCCAAGTGCACCTCATCCACATCGCCGATGGCGTCCAGGCACTCGAGCGCCAGCTGTGCGAGGACACCTGGGGCGGCGTCTTGTGGCGGGGCCTGGTTGTCTGCTGCTGGTGTGGCGTAGCTGGTGTCGTATCTGCTGGGTGTGTCGGTGAGAAGGATTCTGGCCTTGTTGAGTTGCCCTCTAGCTGGCTCGAGCAGCTCCCTCACCCCTCCCTCTCTGAGCAGGTAGACGGACGGGAACTGGAAGTCGACGGTTTCCAGTTGCGGGAGGCGGCTGCATCGCTCAGAGGCCGCTGGGAGTGAGGGCAGCACGCCGTCCGCCGACCCGGATGCGGGGCTAAATATGGTCAAGTAGGTCAGTGACTCGAAGACGTAGTCACCAAAGCTACCCCTGCTGGCCGCCTGGACACCGTCTCGACCGTCATGGACTCGGCCACTCTGGCCATCTCGCGAACTACCTTCTTGGGCAGCACGTCAGAGGCCGTCAGGCTGAGGCGCAGCAGGTTGTCGTCGAAGTATGCCGCATGTAGATGAGCAGCTGGAGTCGTCAGAACAGGATTCGTGTCTGTCTGCCAGTCATCGAGCTGGACAGACTCACGCAGGAGCAGCGGCGGAGGGCGTGTACATGCTTGAAGGAAGTGTCAAGCCGTGAGGAGGGGCTGGTGGAGAGAGGCCGGTGTCTGCGGCAGTTGGAGGACATCTTCCAGGAGGAGTGGCTGCCTGACGTTCGCAATTTACGAGAAAGGAAAAGAACCAGTCAGGGGTCACTGTGAGGGTGTTGAGAACCACACACGAGGCACCTACTTGACAAATGAAGACACGGTTAGAGTGCACTGACAAAAAGACCTGGGTGAACTGACAAAATGACTTGACCTGACAAAATGACTTGCCTGCACGTCCTGGTCCTCCTCCTGCTGCTGGCCCTCCCCGTCGGTACCCGTAAGGCCGAACGACGGGCGCACGCTGAGGCTCTCGATGCGTCCAGCGGGGCCAATGGCGCCCTTGTCCTCCAGCACACGCAGAAGCGTGTCGTGGGAGGAGACGAACTTGTGGCCGACCTGGATCACGCCCAGCGACTTCAGGCTCTTCAGCGAGGGGGCAGCTTGGAGCACGGTGATGAAGACGGGGGCGTTGGCATGCAGCAGCTGGAAATGGGTCAGGTGGGGGGTATGATCGACCCAGGCGCTCATGAGAAGGGGGTGAAAGCCGCCCGTCACGAAGACCTTCAGTGCAGGCAGGGACCACAGGCGGCTGTACGCTGCCCCCGACCACATGCCGCCTGCCATCTGGACCATCTCCAGGCTCTCGAAGGTCACCAGTGTGGGCTGTCGCTTCAGCATCTCAGAATTCGACTGCGGACCGTCGCTCACGCCAAGGGAGGCGTCAAGCAGGCAGCACTTTTTGAGCCGTGCAGCTGATGCCTCCAGCATCCGTGCGTACACGGACCGGTGACCATGGGAGCGATCCAGCTTCCGCCGCTCCCCTGCCGACACGTCGAAGATGGGCACCGTCTCGAGTGCGTCGTCATTGGCCCCTGGTTGGCCGCCGAGCCGGTCCTCTTCGAGCCCTCGCGTGTAGACCTCCTCGTCTGTGATTATTGTGGCGCTCTGCAGCCGGGTGAGACGGCCGCCCAGCTGCCGCAGGACACTCGTCGGTGCCTTGCGCCACAGCCTGTGCGACTCGGGCGTGACGTCGAGGTGGCGGATGAGGAACGGCGAGCGGCACGTGTCCTCCATGGCCTTGTTGATGAGGCCCAGCCGGATGGCCTCGTGGGTGGGGATGTGCTCACACACGTTGGCCAGCTTCTCTGGCTGGAAGCCGCACAGCGACGCATTCGGCGGAGGGGACGCCTGACAACAGCAGCAAACACATCCACACTATGAGGGATGCATAAGCTGTCTGGTCGGAGTTGGTGTATGGCTCACCAGCTGTCGTTGTGTGATGATCTCATTGGCGATGGCCTGCGCCTCGGGAGTGGTGAAATCTGAAGGCATGCATCAAAACCAAGACACATCAGCACACCATCATGTCCAAGCAGATCTGTGGCGTGATGTGATGGCCATCTCACCTGTGTCCGCGTGGTGCCCTTGATCCGCCTGGTCCGTGCGAAGGACGGGCAGCAGGAAGCGGCACATGCTGACTTGACGCATGCCGGAAGAGGAACAGGAGCTACAGCGCAACTCGTGTGTGGCTAAAGATGGACCGGCGGATGAGAAGGACTCGTCTGCTCAGGACGGACTCGTGTGACGCCAGATGCCCGACAGCAGCCGAAAGGCAGGCAGCGTTCCCTCAGCAGCTGGACTCAACGAATGAGAGATCTGACTGAAAGAATCGCGCGGGATGGTGAACCGCAGTCCGAAGCTTACACGTCGCCGAAATAATAGTACAAGAACCCGATGGTGTCGGCTCCGCTGCTTCTCACCTTCGCCCTTCTCATCTCACAATGCGACGGGCAGGAGCCGCAAGACGCCCAGACGGAGCTTTGGGTGGAGCTCGAGCAGCCCAACACCCGCGGAGGCAACGAAACTGACCTGGACGACGAAGAACAACGGGATCAGCCGAGTAAGGGGAAAGAAAGAGGGCAGACAGGCAGACTGACAATGATGTGCTTTCTGGCTGTTCTTGTTGTGGGTGTTGCAGGCGCTGTGGACGTCATGTACGCGCAGCTGGTCAAGTCCATCCCCGCCACAGCTCGCCGGCTCTTCAAGCCCGCCAACATTCAGCTCGACACAGTGCTCTTTCAGCTGCACTTCCTCCACGTTGAGCAGCGGTTGTTCGACCTCCGACGGCAGGGTGTGTCGGCGGCACTCGCAAGGGACGACCCGTTCAGCGCCGAGAGCGGCGCGATGCGGCTGCTCCTCGGCCCGTCATTTCAGCAATGGCGGGGCCTCTTCCGCAACGAGACCACGCTGCGACAGTTTGCCCAAGACACCGCCACGCAGGTGTCCTCCGAAGGCATTGTTGTGGACATGACCATCGACGAGTCGCGGCTGGAACCGGGCGGCATCGGCGGCCTCATCTTGAAGCTCACTTCTCTGGGTCTCACGGGCATCAAACACTTTCGACACATTGTGTCGGCGAGGCTGCCAGTCGAAAAAATCGACTTCATGACCAGGATCTCCGGAATTCTTGTGCTCCGCGCGTCACAAGTGTTGGTCATCCCTACAGGGTTGGAGGGGCGGCTCAGAAGCCTGCCGCAGCGGCAGAAAGGTTCAGTGGCGGTGCCTTTGGCGGGTAAGGTGACGAGTCAGGGGGACGAGTCGATGCGGACCGACCGGGTGCGAGAAATGTTCCCTGACATCAACGGGTCAACGCTCACGTGTACGAAAGAGAGTTGACACACAACAGCACAGCACAGCTCGTGTATGTGTGTGTGCGGCTGGGCTGCTTTGTGTCCTGTCAGGTATCGGTTTCCTATCGGACTCCTTTGACACTCGTGGCAATGCGGAGACTCTGTTCGAACAGGGGGACCTGCCGGCGAATGTGACGGTGTTGGAAGAACTGCCGGGGAATGGCACCGACGAGGTGAGCAGTGAGACAGACCGCCATGAGCTATCCATCCATCCATCCGACCACACAACACATGTGGTTTGCTTCTGTGCGTCTGTCTGTCAGGGAAGCGGCATGATGGAGCTGGCGTACGTGACGACACAACGACCAGACCAGACCAGCGGCCGCACACAGACAGGCAGACAGACGAGCCCTCTCGATGAATGTCTGTCTTTTGCTGCCATTGTCAGTTTCGACGTGGTCCCTGGCTGCCCGAAATTCGAATTTCACACGGTATGTGGTCACAGGCCAGCAGCAGCCTTGCCTTTCCGGACATGAGAGAGTGGATATATGTGTGTGTGCCGCAGGCATTTCTCGGACAGGTAAGGTGATGGAATGAATGCTGCTGATACCCATTCACCTGAGACGTACCACGTACTCTGTTGTCTCTCGTTCGCAGGCTAGTTTCGCCCAAGGTCGGTAGCAGAGGCCGAGCTATCCATCCATCCATCTAGATGCGTGTGTGTGTGTGTGTGTCTGTGTCCCAGGCATTTTGGACCTGGCCGAGCTCGGCTGCGAGGTGATCGTCGATGACGTCATCGACTTGCCAGAGCCGATGTTTGCCGACGGTCGCCCAAATGCACCGACACTGACACAACAGCACACGGCACACAACACTGTTATGTCTGTTGTGTCATGTCAGGCGTAAGGGCACCAACACCGACACTGACCGCAGCTCAGCAAGGGTGTGCGTGTATCTGTGTCGGTGTCGCTCTTGCCTTCATCAGATCATAGCCCAGGCGGTGGATCTGGTGTCTGCGGCAGGGAAGGCCTACTATTCCTCGGCCGGCAACAACGGCGACTCGGCCATACAAGAGTACTACAACTCATCGGGCGTCAGGAACAACATCAGCTTCGGCTTTTGTAGGCCATCTCGATAGTCAGCGAACCAAAATGGCCGACTGATTGTGTGTGTGATGCTGTCTGTCAGTTGAGTTGGAGTACGAGTGGCACAAGTTCAGCCAGACCGACTCCATCGACTTCCCATTTACCCTCGAGGTCGACAGGCTCAATTTCGGCATCCTCAACTGGGACCAACGCGTAAGAGACAGACGCATGTGCTTGAGCTGACGCACTCACTATTCGGCCAATTTTCTGCCCTGTGCTGTGCTGTTGTGTGATGTCCTACGTGTGTGTGTCTGCGTCATGAATCGACCGATGGGCAGTATGCCAGTGTCTTTGGTAAGGTCAGCTGCGTGGCCAGCATGCAGGCAGTCGTCGTGTATTTTTTCTCCTTTGCTTCCATGCCACGCAGGCCTCCCGGGCAAACTCTGCGACCTTGACATCTTCATCTTCACCGAGTGAATCAGCCAGCCAGCCGTCGCCATGGCTGAACGATCACGTGAATGGTATGGCTTTCGTTCAGAGAGTCGGTCAAGGACTTGGTACCCATTACGGCCAGCTTCGAAGGGGCGGGCGGCGTAGACTTCATCGAGAGGGGAGACCCTATAGAAGTCATCTTCTTCACGGTAGGTGGCAGACGAAAACGGAATTGACTGATTGGTTGTGCCTGTTGGTGTGGTGCCACGGTGGGTCAGAATCCCGGCCCCGGCGAGAATCTCGTGCTTCGCATCGGCAAGCTGATCCCCGCCGGGTGAGTGAGTGAGTGGCATGACGCAAGACACCCATAGGTGCCTGTCTGCCTGCCTACAGGGTGGAGGAGCCACCACCCGATCCAGATTATATTGGGCTGGTCTGGTTCAGAAGGACCACAAGTGAGCTCCCGGCCACCCAACCACAGTGTGTATCGGATTGTGTGTCCAATTGGCTGGCCAGTCGGACTCATTGAGCCTGATTTCTTCGGAAACACCACATACGGGTAATCTGCACACAGACACACTGGAGATTGGTGTCTCTGTGTGTCTATATGTGTGTGTGTGTGTGTGGGTCAGTCATTCCAACGCCCGCACTGCGACGGCTGTCGGTGCAGCTGAGTACCTAAACACCACTGAATTTGGCACGGTACCATCGCGAGTCAATGACTTCTCGTCGAGAGGTGCGGTGCGTCGATTGTGCTGTGCAGTGCACGCCACGCAGCGGCCGGATGGATGCCATGCCTGTGTATGTGTGTGTGTATGTGTGTGGACTGCACTGCGTGCAGGGGGGGTGCTTATTTGGTTTGGCCCCGATGGGGAGAAGCTCGAGCAGCCAGAAATACGCCTGAAGCCCAACGTCTGCGGACCAGGTGATGTGATGTGATGCGATGTGACTGACACACATACAAGACACGCTTAATGGACCTCCATTGCTGGCAATAGAGCCCTTTGCCGTCGGTGACCTCCATTGCTGGCAATGGACCTCCATTGCTGGCAACAGAGGCCCATTGCTGGCAATGCAGTTCCATTGCTGGCAATGCAGTTCCATTGCTGGCAATGAAGGGCTATTCCCAGCAATAGACCCTATTGCTGGGCAATATTATGGGTCTATTGCTGGGAATAGCCCTTCATTGCCAGCAATGGAACTGCATTGCCAGCAATGGGCCTCTGTTGCCAGCAATGGAGGTCCATTGCCAGCAATGGAGGTCACCGACGGCAAAGGGCTCCATTGCCAGCAATGGAGGTCCATTAAGCGTGTCTTGTAGCACACATCACCCACCCCACCCGTCATCTCATCTGCCCTCATGGCTCCTGCTGTGTGTGTGTGTGTTTTTGTGTGTGTATCCCCAACTTAAGACGGCGCCAACACCAATTTCTTCCCGCCAGTGAACAGGGAGGAGAGAGACCGAGAGGGCGATGGGTGAGCCAGACAGCAAGGAAGAACCACATGCGCGCTGTCTGACGGTTGTGTGCGGGTCGGCGGATGGGTGTGTGTGTGTGTGGCTGAAGGTTCCCCAACTTCTTCGGTACGTCGGCTTCGGCGCCTCATGTGGCGGCGCTGGCGGGGTTGATCATCGACAGACAACGCGTGAGGAATGAGCCAGCTCTCACGCCAGAGCAGATCACGCGCCTCCTGGAATCGACGGCAGAAGACATGCAGGGTGTGCAATGCAATGGAGGCGCACACACACAATGAACGAACGCATCGGTGCCCGTTGGCTGTGAATCCCTCCCTGGTGCAGACATAGTGGTGCTCGAAGACTCGGAGGGCTTCGATTTCAGAACAGGTGTGGACGATACGAATCAATTTCAGACAGGCGTGTCTCACTCCCCGAATGGATTGGATGGCCGAGTGCGTGTGTGTGTTGTTCAGGGTTTGGCTTCGTCAACGGAACCAAAGCGTTCGAGGCGCTTGAGGGCATCTGGGCCCCACGGCCCCCACACAGCTTTCCGATCCAGCTATAACAATTGAGGCTACCAGGTCCACTCCACCACGCCGACACACACCTCACGTCACCTCACACACACGTGCAGCGATGTAATGCGATGTGTGTTGTGTATCGCTGTGCAGATGGTTCTCTGTCTAATTACTGACTGTCTGTGGCTGACAGCGAGAGAGAAGTCTTTTTGAGTCTCGACCCGTTCGTGTCTCATCCGTCCGTCCCCCTTCCCGATGTGATGTGCCTGGGCGTTCCTTCCGGCGTTTACGTAAAATAAGTGTGTGTTTGTGTGTGTGGAAGGGGCGGTGGGTATCGTTGTGGATTTTGTAGCTGTCTGCACCGGCCGAGTGTATCGTTAAGGCAAAACATCTTTTGTACATCCATCCATCCATGAGAGGGGGCTGTGTCTGTCTGTGTGGGTGGCCATGGGTGGGTGTCGTTGCGTGCAAACAGAGAATGCCCAACCGTGTGCACGTGTCCTGTGTTGTGCAGCAGCGCGGCTGTGTTCTCATCTCAACCGTCTCATCTTTGTCCTTTGTGCAGCTTATGTGTGATTGTGTGCGCTTTATGCGTCAGCGTCTACGTCTGTGTGTCACTCAGTCAAATTTATGAGCAACAGGCTTAACAGGTGCGCACCGTACCCATCGTCCACAAAGTCACAGACCCCACAAATGACTGACATAACACACATGGACTGACTCATTGACAGATGCCATCAATGGTACACACGGACTAGTACTGACTTTACAGACACGAAGACGCCCCCGGGGCTAACGGGGAGGGGAGACACATCCACGTATATCGGTAGGCAACGCAGGAGAACCTCCCCTCCCTCCCCTATCCACGAGAGCTGAGCTGAGCTGAGCTAGGTTACATGTCAAAGATAAAAAATACCAACTCACCGACGGACTGGGCAGCACACATGGACGCCCATCAGTCACATCATGAGGGCTGGGCTCACTCTGCGTCCATCCCTCCCCCTCAATTTTGTGATGTGAGCCAGCCCAGCAGTGTGTGAAGACGTACATCACATGCCCACACACAGACAGACAGGCCCACCCACCCCACTGAGGGAGGGGAGGTGCACTCTCTACCCACCCACCCCGTGGAGGGTATGTATACCAACGTACTCGAGTACTTGATGTCGTGGTTTCTCTAGCCATCCATACCATGCATTCATTCATCACGTGTGTGCACGCGCCGGTGTGAATGCGTGTGCATGTGCGCATCAGTAAAAAGCCGACCGATTGTCCATCCAGTCTTGGTGGATCACCGAGCCATGGCCTGCATGAGCAGCTCCACCGATGCCAGCTTCATGCTGGTGCCCTCCTTGTCGCCGTACAGCCTCACGTAGGACTTCTGCAGCGCCGCAGTGACCTCAGCCAGCAACTGGGATTTCTCGGCTGCGTCGATCGGTGCCCGCGACACCTGGGGGGAAGGCACCCCTTCACAGACGCCGTCCCGGCACTCCAAGCATCCAATGTCCTGCCCGTCGCCGTATGCCGGCCCCCCGAAGAGCTTGAGGACTTCGTAGAAAGTGAAGGCGACGAAAGGCATGGCGGGGGAGGGGTCAAACAGATTGACGTTGAGCAGACACTCCTTCAGCACCAGGTCACATTCACTCTGGGATGCCCCTGCACACATACACAGACACACACAAGCGCCATTGCATCGGTGCAGGTGTTCGGCTTGTGTGGGTGTACCTACCGCAGATAGTGTAGCAAATGTCGTGCTGGTTGCAGCACTGGTTCGACAGCGCCACCCCCTCGTCAGAGAGAAGCTTCTCCAACGTCGCCTGTGTGAACGCGAGAACCTCGACAGTGCCTGTACGGAGCCACGCCACGGAACACACAACCATTCTTTTACCACACCTATGCCATCCATCAAGAGAACTAGCTACTCCAGTCAGTCAAGTCACCGCATCCATTGGTGTTTTCCGGGCCGCGGGGTGCTTGACAAGTGGTGCCATCCTTCTCTCCCTCACACGAAGTCGGCGCAAACAGGGGGTAGCTGAAGCGGTTGGGCGTCGTGACGTTAATCGACAGGTGGAAACACGAGTCGGTCGGGTCATCGGACATCTCGGCACACAAGAAGACCTCGTCGTCGAGAATCACCACAGCGCCGAACTCGCCAGGGCTGGTCCGCTGAAAGGAGCCCTGCAGCAACCCCGTCAGTGCTGGGATGAACCTCGTGTCGCCCAGGAACGCGTCAGACGGCAATTGCCCGCCCGCTGAGAGCGTCACATTCGCGAGCTCCAGGTTGTTTGCACTCAGCGACGCGATCAGGGCCACCCGCCTGATGAGAGGCTGGCTGCTGCTGCTGCCGTCATCCTTCTTCTTCTCAAGTGAGAGCATCGCGTCGTAGAGATCCTGTACGTGCGTGTCGTTGGTCTGCGCGGCTTCGAAGGCCAGGTCTCCCATCGGCGACAAAGCGGCAGACAACACGGCCGGGAGGGCGATCTTGCGGACGAAGGGCACAGCTGCTTCAGGCAGGTTGTCCTCGTTTGCCCCCCTGAAGCACTTGTAGAACCCCCTGTCGCAGTCCAGCTTGCCTTGCCCCTCAGCACTGTAGCACTCCCAGTGCGCGTCGCAGCACGCGTCAGCGGCCTCGTCGAAGGCCTCTGACTCGCTCCCTTTGGGCAGCACCCTCTCGTCCAGGAGGCTGCGGAGCTCCTCGAAGAGGGAGGCTGGGATGGGTGCTCTCCTCGGCGAAAGGCAGCCGGCCGCCGCTGTCGGTCTCACGGCGCCGAAGGACGCCAGCGAGACGAGAAGCAGCAGCGCAGGAGGCCGAGCCATGGTCCGTACGGTGCGAGAGCAAATTTACGAGGTGCGAGCTTAGCCGTTTTCGTGCGTCGATGCGCTGGGACCCTCTGCCGCCGCCGGGCAGCAGGCTGGTGGACCCTCCTCCGCCACGTAGGCCATGTGATCGATGCAGTGGATGCACTCCCTCCATGAACACCCTATTTATTCTCTGCATTGTGGTCATTGCAGCCAAGGAGGGGCGTTTGGGTCTGACGAGAGCCTCTGAACTGGGAGGTAAGGTAACCACACCGCCATTCCATTCTCACCTGCAGGACATCAACGCGGTTTTTCTTTGCCAGGCCTATTGGCGCCGAACTTGAAGCCGTGTGTGCCTGAGCATGTGATCCAGAACGTGCCGGCCAAACCTTTAAGCCCCTTCATTGAGACCATGGTGCTGGAGACCGTGTGGAACAAGTGAGGGAAGGATGCGGCCACATGGAATTTTCACCCGATTCCCCGGTCTCCTTCTGTTGTCGTGAATGGTATGTATTGCTGCAGCACTCCGCTATGGGGAGGCAGCGACCAGGAGGCCGTATCCCAGCTGCGGTCGGTGGGGAGGGCTCAACACACGTATGGGGAAGGAAGATCGGCTTTGGTGTGCTTCCCCTCCCTCTCCCTTGGTCGATGCAGCTATGGGGAGAAGCGTCGCCTCCAGAATGGGCTGAGGAAGCTGCTGCAGGCGCTAGAGGTAGGTAGCTCGGTGAGGTCAGCAGATACAAATCACATCAGCACTCACTCAGATGACACCATCTTTGTGTTTTCTTGTGCGTGTGGTCCACCTCAGTTGTACTTCGGCAGTGCCGGTCCTACCGAGCTGTACGAGCGGCTGCTGGAGGTCAAGTCGCGGCTGCCCACACACAAAGGCAGCGCATCCGGCAGTGGCAGGAGCGTCCACAAGGGTACATAACATGGGTAGAGGGGGGGAGATACATCCTATTACATCCTCAGTCTTACTGGTGCTCACCTGCACGTGTGTCGTGTGGTGTCGTGTGCAGATGAGATTGATTGGGAGAGTTTCCACGATGTACCTAGGGGGATGCTGAGCTGGATGGATTGGCCAGGCTTGGCAGCTGGGCACTCACGTCGTCTCGTCACACACTATAGACGGACGAATGGCTGTTGGTGTCGGTCGGTGCTGGCTGCAGGTGATTGGCCAGACCGCCGGATGGGACAGGCCGCTGCGGATCTTAGACAAACAGGAGATGTTCATGTACTGACCAAACAGAACAGAGAAAGAGATTTGGGTGCATGGATGGATGGATGTGTGTGGTCGCTGGCTGGCTGGCTGGCTGTCTGCAGAACGTTGTGCCTGCCGACGTCTGAGGTGTTCAAGAGTAGTCTGGAGGAGTTTCTCGAGACCAACCGGCAGCAGCTGCTGGAGTCCATCGTCAAGACAGACAACATGGCACCCAATCCGCGGCTCCACACTTGGTGGGCGGGCAGCGGGCTGCACCCACCTGACACAGACACTCTTGCAGACCCACTGCGCCTTTGTGTGTGCTGGCAGGCTGGTTCTGACGCGCGACAAGTTCGTAGAATCTCTGACCAAGCTGCCCTGGAACCATAGCGACCACCCGGTGGGGAGGGATAAGACGAAGGAGGGAGGGAGGGATGGATGAGCGGTGTGTGGCCTGGTGTGTGGTTCCAGATGCCCGAGAGTGAGTTGACGTTGCTGGGGTGCCCATACGAGAGCCTTGCACTCAGACTGCAGGCAAAGGTTCGCACCCACAGGACATAAGTGAAGGCACTGTCCTATTCTGTCCTGTCCTGTGTACGCATGTGTATGTGTTTGCAGGCACATCGTGAGAAGGTAGCTGCAGAGATCGCTCAATACTTCAGCCAACACCATCAGGCCGTGTCAAAGAAGGTATGCCTGTGAGTATGATGGTGGCTGGTGCACGCAATTCTCACCCTCCCGCCCCTTTGCTCGAATGCAGGATTTCCTCAAGACAAAGTACTCACACGGGCGGGCGTCAAAATGAACACATACAGCACCTGCGGTGTGTTGATGTGATGTGCTTTGTGTCTGTCAGTTTGGTGTCGTGCGAGGAGATACAGGTGATGATGCCCCACAAATACCCCATCCAATGGGTACCTACCTCCCTCACTCGGGGGGCATTGCATCGCATCAACGAATGAATGGACGGATGGATGGATGGATGGACACATCAACTCAACACGCGGGCTGTGTTGTGGTTGTGGTGTCCAGATCTACGCTGGTTGTCTACACCTGACCGAGGCCACTGCAGACGACATCTCCCCTGAAGACTGGTAGGTAGGTGGGTGGCTGGCCGATCCATGCCACTGCAGACAGACAGAGGCAGGAGAGAGAGGATACAGAGACAGAGAGAGTTGTGCATCCAGTCATCCAATGGCTGCTCTCATTCATCAGGCGTCGCGATGTCGAGGAGCGTGCGGCGTGGCCCGAGGACTACGCATCGCCCAACGCCAAGCCCTCCCACCCAGAAGAGATCGCACAGCTGGTAGGTACATACCTCATTCATCACCACAGACAGACAGACAGACAGACAAGGGGAGGGAGACACATGTCGCAACCAACCAACCAACCTTTGCCTCTCTCTCTCTCTCTTGTTTCGTCTTCAGGAGCAGTTGTGGTACGACGGCGGCATGCAGCAGGCTCTCGGTCCGCTGTCTCTGCCAGTGTCGGCCCACGGCATCAACTGGCTCACACCCTTCAAGTGCCTCAGCGACCAAGACGGTGACGGTGACGGCCACCCCTTTGCAGCTGCCATCCGCATGATCCATGGCGGCGGGCCAGTGCCCTCGTGGCTGCAGCAGCTCGACCACGAGGCCCTCCCCTCAAATGCCACACGAGCACGCCTCCTGCGGCTCGCACTCCATCCTGACCTGGGCATCGGCGGGCCCTTCCTCGCACATGGCTTCCAGCGCTGCTGCGAGGTGTTCTGCAAGCTGCACGGCAACACGCAGCAGCAGCAGCACTCTCGTGCGGGAGCTAAGAGGGAGAGTGGGGGGACGAGAGGGGCGGGCGGTGGCGGGGAGGGACGTGATGGATAGACGGACATCAGAGAGACCGTCCAGGGCCATATGCCATATGGAGGGATGGATGGCCCGTGCGGGTATGTGTGCAGTGTGTGGAGTGGATAGACAGACAGGGGAGATGGCTGGGCTGCACGTGTGTGTGTGTGTGTGTGTGTGTAGTGGGTGAAGAGTGAGCGATGTGGTGCCTGCCTGCGACAGTGAAAGGCATACATACGTGCAATTGAAGGACGATTGCAAAACGGCCCCATAGCTGTCCACTCCTATTGACTGCGACCGCATAGGTACGTCAGTGGTCGAAAGAGTGAACTGTCTGTCAACCAATATAAAATGTAAGCAGCGATTTGCACAATCGAGGGCCACCACGTTCTTGCCGCACTTATCGCACTGACACCTGACACCACACCACACAGAACAAACGCAAAACAAAGGCCTGCATGGAGACGCCACTCCGTGATGAGTCTCTGTCGGTCACTGACTCACCCACTTGCCGCACTTGTCCCCCTCGTCCGTCCTTGGGCACCCGACACACTCGCAAGGCAACATGCTGGCGGCCTCCTCGGCCAGCTCCCGCCACTTGTCGAGCATCACCCCCGCCATCACACGCTGATTCACCACCACCTCCGTCTCGCCGTTCCACTGCACTGGCGGCTCTACACGGCCCGCCACGTCGCTCACAGAGGGTCGGGCGGCGGTGTCCGTCATGGCCGTGGGTGATGTGGGTGATGTGGCTGTGGCTGTGGCGTGCTGCAGCCGCCTGAGGGATTCCTGCACGCCCTGTCTGTCATAGCCCCAGAAGACGTTCACGATGTGCCGGTCCCGGAGGGCGGCGATGCACGCCTGTTGCTTGAGGGCGTAAGTGTTGAGGTCAGTGTTGAGCTTGAAGGCGCTGTCGATGGTCTTGGGGATGTGGTTCATGTGCAGCGCGTCCCACCCCGTGGACACCCAAGCACTTCTTCCTGAGTCGAGCGAAGTCGTCCTCGCTGCGAGCCTGGCCGCTGGGGGTCCAATCTGGGCGCCACTCCCTAATGGCCATACACAGACACAGACAGGTAACCATACAGAGCAGCTGGGCAGGCTACACGGTGCATGTGTCTGTCTCGAACACATCGGCGGCTCTAGCGTGTGTGAGACATTCATTGTAGTGAATGCATCGTCTCTCTGTCTATCCCACCGGCTCACAGTGTTGCCTGGACCGCTGGGGGTTCTGTGGGAATGGGGTTGAAGAAAGACGGGACGTACACCTGGTGGTGGGGACCGATGCGCACTGCCTTCGAGGGCGGCAGCTGCGGTGGCGGCGGTGGCGGAGTGGCGGATTCCGCGGCGGCAGGCTCTGCTCACATCAACAAACACCACACGCACACACACACACACACACACAGAGAGAGAGAGAGATTCGTCAATCTGTCGCCCGAGCTACTGGCTTTTCATCGCCCTCTTACGCAGCGGCTGTATGGGGAGGATGCCGTATCGAGCCGCCAGCTTATTGCGGCGCTGGACTGCCACCCACAGCGCCTCTTCCATCTCCCTTGGCGTCAACGCCGCCGCCACCGTGGTCCTCGAGCCCTTCACGTCGACGTCCCAGCTCCCCCTCCAGTGAAGTCCTTTCCACCGGATGTTTATGTCCTGCACGTTCCCATTCAGACGCCGGAGTTCCCTCATCAGTTCCGTAGCGGCCTGTCGGGCCTCCTTTTCGTTCAAAATGATGTCGTTCATGGTGTTTCTCGCCGACGGTGGTGCTTCAAAGGAAAAATCGCTACCCACCGACCTCCTTTCCACCTGATGTGCACGTACTGCACGTTCCCATTCACCTGGCGTCGAGCTCGGAGATCAGTGCCGCGGCGGCCTTCCGGGCCTCATTTTTGTTCAAAATGATGTCATCCATGGTGGTTCCCTCGCACGACGGTAATACTTGAAGACTCTATCAGGATGTTGAAGTTGCTGTGTGCCGAACACACACCGTGGTCAGAAGGATCAGACGGAGCCCTCGAATCTCGCCTTA